TGCTGGGTTCAGGCAATCCTTCCATCTCAGCCTCTTAAGTAGCTGGGACTACAGGCATGCCCTACCACACCCAGCTTTTTATTGTAGAGACAAGGTCTTGCCATGTTACCCAGGCTGGTCTCAAACTCCTGGGCTCAGGCAATCCTTTCGCCTCAGACTTCCAAAGTGCTGGGATCATAGGTGTGAGCCACTGTGCCCAGCCAAGATGAAATTTTTTTTTTGAGTTGGAGTCTCACTGTCACCCAGGCTGGCATGCAGTGGCACACTCAGTCACCGCAGCCTTGACCTGCTTGGGCTGATACTTCCACCTCAGCCTCCCAAGTAGCTGGAACTACAGGTGCATGCCCCCATGCCCAGCTGATACTTTTTGATTGTAGAGATGAGGCCTCATCAGGTTGCCCAGGCTGGTATCCAACCCCTGGACTCAGGCAATCCTCTCATTTACACCCCCCTAAAGTGCTGGGATTACAGGTATCAGCCACCGCACCAGGCTAAGAAATTTTTTTTTTTTTTTTTAAAGTTGGAGTCTCACTCTGTTGCCTAGTCTGAAGTGCAGTGGCTGCTCCCGGCCACCGCAGCCTCGACCTGCTCGACCTGCTCGACCTGCTGGGCTCTAGCGATCCTTCCGCCTCAGCCTTCCAAGTAGCCGGAACTACAGGCATGTGCTACCACGCCTGGCTGATTTTTTGATTTATTGTAGAGATGAGGTCTCGCTACCCAGTCGGGTCTCGAACCCGCGGGCTCAGGCAATCCGCTCACCTCAGCCTCCCAAAAGCATGGGATTACAGGCTGAGTCACCAAGCCCGGCTACGGCTAAGAAATTTAACAAGCAGTTTGAATAAAATGCTACCACTAAGTAAGCACTCAGTAAATGTTTAATAAAACCAAAAGTATTTCTGTATATATACCTACATTTATATAGTTGTAACTTTATAAACAAGGTCTATCTAAAATGACAAAAAGGAGAGAAATAATATTTTTTTTAAAAAGTATCACAATAGGAGTATTTACACCAGGGAAACTGGCAAAGAGTATAAACCTAGGCTTAATTTAATGCATTATTAAATGCTTAAGATGATAGAAAACATGTTAATGCAGACTAAAAATAAAAATGTATGGGGTATGTAAGCACAAAGTATTGAGAGAAAAAAATTTCCTCCAGTATAAAAAGTTGCTCATATGGCAAAGAAAATACATCATAGAATGAGTAAAATTCCAACATGTCTTTGCTATTGCACTTTTTATTTAATAAACTGATTTATCAAAAGAAATAGGAAAATGCTATGAACATTTTACCAAAAAAGATATACAACTGACAAACACATAAAAAAAAGTTTAATATCATGAAGTTTTAGGGGATGTCACTACACACATATTAAAAGGGTCAAAATAAGAAAGATGGGACATATGGAGTGCTGGCAGGGATATAGAGGTACTAGAACTCTCATACACTGTTGATAGGAGTGCAACAGAAAACCATTTCTATCAAAGCTTGACACTTCTTACAGTGTTAAACATTCACCTACATTGTAACTCATACATTACAGCTTGAATTATTAACACATGAGAAATAAAACACGTATCATATAAAGAACTGAATGCAAGTATTTAGTTTTATTTGTAATATATAAAATCTATAAATAACATAAATATCCTTAAATAGATGGATAAACAATGGCTTATCCACAGAACAGAATGTCACTCAGCAATAAAAAGAACTACTCAAAGAAGCATCATTGTTGAATCTCAAAATATACATTATGAAGAAAACAAGGGGAAAAAAGTATGTACAACATTTAAAATTCTAGAAAATGTAAACTAATTTGTTGTAAAGGAAATCAATGGATGCTTGGAGAGTTAGGAAAGGCAGGGAGAGGTTACACAAGGACACAAAATATGAGATCCCTCTCCCCAAAAAACTTAATTTCACCAGGTACAGTGACTCATGCCTGTAATCCCAGCACTTGGGGAGGCAGAGGCAAGAGGACTGCCTGAGCCCAGGGGCTTGAGACCAGCCTGGGCAACCTGGCGAGACCTCGTCTCTACAATAAATCAAAAAATTAGCTGGGCGTGGTGGCGCATGCCTGTGGTTCCAGATACTTAGAAGGCAGAGGCAGAAGGATTACCTGAGCCCAGCAGGTTAAGGTTGTGGTGGCCATGAGCATGCCACTGCATTCCAGCCTGGCTCAAAACAAAAACAAAAGATAATGGAATACTTTTGGAGGGCAGACCCCTTGTAGTACAGGCTTCCCCTGTTAGGTAAGTGTTCAGGGAACCCATTGCCATCAGTGTACCAGCTAGCTAGTGAGAGGCTGCATTGCAGAAGAAATATCCCAAGTTGTGGCAAACAAGTGACTGGTTCTTCCATCATGACAACACATGTGCCCATGACGTACTGAGTGTTCAGCAGTTTTTGACTAAAAACAGCATGACTCCCATGCCACACCCTCCCTTATTCACCCGATTTCATCCTGAGCAACTTTGTTTCCCTGGATGAAAAAAGTCCTCAAAGGAAAACATGTGGAAGAGATGAAACAGAAAAGGGCAGAAACACTAAAAGGGATCAAAACTGACAAGTTCAAAAACTTTTTTTTTTTTTTGAGTTGAAGTCTCATTCTGTTGCCCAGGCTGGAGTGCAGTAGCATGCTCACCGCCACTGCAGCCTTGACCTCTGGGCTCAGGCGATCCTTCTGCGTCAGCCTTTCAATTAGCTGGAATCACAGACGCATGCTGCCATGCCCAGTTACTTTTTTGATTTATTATAGATACAAGGTCTCACCAAATTGCCCAGGCTGGTGTCGAATCCCTCAGCTCAGGCAATCCTCTCACTTCAGCCTCCCAAATTGCTGGGATTACAGGCTTGAACCACCGTGCCCAGTCTTCAAAAACTGTTTTGAGCAGTGGAAAAAGTGTCTTGATAGGTGTATTGCATCAAATGGAGAATTCTTTGAGGGTGACTGAACTTTAAACATGCAAGAATAAATACGCAATTTTTTAGAAATAAATTCCGGGTGTTTTTGAGTCCCCCCTCATAAATACACAGGTAAGTTCATTTTCATGATTGTAAGGATGAAGTTTCATGGCTTTACCAAATTGTACACATTGGGTAGGTGCACTTTATTGTATGTCAACTATACAAATTATACCTTCATAAAACTTTAAAAAGTGGTTCAAAATTAAGAACTTGGATGTCACATTTTTTTTTTTTGAATGAGGTTGAAGCCGGGTTTGGTGACTCAGCCTGTAATCTCAGCACTTTGGGAGGCTGAGGTGAGTGGATTGCCTGAGCCCGCAGGTTTGAGACCCGCCTGGGCAACTTGGTGAGACCCCATCTCTACAATAAATCAAAAATTAGCCAGGCGTGGTAGTGCACGCCTGTAGTAGCTGGAGCCCAGAGGTTGAGGCTGCAGTGGCCGGGAGCAGCCACTGCACTCCAGTCTGGGTGACAGAGTGAGACTCCAACTCAAAAAAAAAAAAATAATCATCAGGTTGATAACCTGATATGGACTCCACCATCTCTCTCCTCATGCACTAGGAGAGCAGCCTAGTTTCAGGGGTAGCAAACGTTAGTAAGCCATGAAGGTTGTTATCACCTGAATCAACTGGAATTGGCTGAGTCACAGAGACCACATTCCTACACTACAGACTCCTCCTATTTTTGCTTCCTTACCTGCACAGCAATGGCCTTGAGGTTAACAGCCCAAAGAAGATACCAAAAGCCACAAAACATTTTCACTATTTTCTGACAATGATCTCAACTACAGGAAATATAGTAATGGAGATCCTGCACAGCCATATTCACTGGAACATTTGTGGATAAACTTTTAGAAGAGACATATTCCACTTAATATACTGAAGTCTCCACCACTCTCTATTTACCCAGAGTTTCCGTCCCAATTACAGTTGCAGCTGACCCCTACAGTCTGACAACGAATGACGCTAAGTCTATAGTCCTATACATCATGGCACATGGCTCCTTTGCAGGACCTGGGGAAGAGGTTCCCCTCAACAGTGGTAGAAATTATGTGACAGTCCTTTGTAAACAAATGAACAGAATCCATGATCAGGGAAGTACTAGGAGTTGTCACAACTGCTTTCTTTTCTTTTTCTTTCTGAGTTGAGGTCTCGCTCTGTTGCCCAGGCTGGAGGCAGTGGCACAATCATGGCTCACTGCAGCCTTGACGTTCTGAGCTCAGGTGATCCTCCCGCTTCAGCCTCCTAAGTAGCTGGGACTACAGGTGCATACCACTACGTTTGGCTAAATTTTTTTTTTTTAAATAGAGACGAAATCTCATGGTGTTGCCCAGGCTGATCTTGAACTAGCCTCAAACAATCCTCCCTCCTCAGCCTCCCAAAGTGTTGCGATTACAAGTATGAGTCATTGTTCCCTGCCTGCTTCCTTTTCATAGTGACCTCCGACCTCACAAAAATCCTGGCACCAGACCACAAAACACAAACACTGAGGTCTTTACTTTGAGGTCTCAAACAGCAATGAAACTTAGACCAATACTGGACAAAGAGCTGTTTCCTGTCATCACACTGTCCTTTCTGAAGCAAAGAAAGTTTCACATCTCCACAAAATCTGTTTACCACTTCATGCTGACATAATCATTCTTTCAAGTCACCCCAATAAACAGACCTCCAAGATTAAAGGTGCATACATTTAAAAATCTTTAAAAAAAGACAATAAACCAGAGCCATGTGCACCAAGCAGTTTCCAGGAAGGTGAATTAGAACCTGGAAAAATCACAAGCATCATTTGAGATCACCAATATCCCTAAAAAAGGTGATCCTTCTTAGAAAGCTGACAGAACAACTCAGATCAAGTTCTCTGGACCAAAACTGGATCAGGTCCATGTCCTAAAGTCAAGAGAAGGAAAGAGGATGGTCCTAAGGACTTGGGCTATTCATAATTTCCCCCAAAGAGATGGACAAGTACAGAGGCTTGCTTTTCTGAGCTTACTGGGATGGTAACTCATGCACACAGTGTGGATCTGCCAGGTGGTAGAGGTGGAAATGGCTTCAGATATTGGCAGTGACATAAATCAGTCTATGGCTCTGAGCACATTAGAAATTGAAATTAGTCTCAAAGCTTTTCACATTCCTGAAACTTATGGAGAATTTCCCCCCATTAGGGATGTTCAAATTAAATTTAAATTTTGATAGATGGCTCCCACGTGGACTTTTTTTTTCCTCCAGTGCTGTCATACTGAATAAAGAATAGTTCCTGAACATTTAAGGCCTTTCTTCAGTGTGAACTCTCCTGTGTCGAATGAGGTTAGATTTGCGGCTAAAGGATTTCTCACATTCACTACATTCATAAGGCCTTTCTCCTGTGTGAACTCTTTGGTGCTGAATGAGGTCAGATTTGTGAGTAAAGAGTTTCCCACATTCACTGCACTCATAAGGTCTTTCTCCAGTGTGACCTCTCTGGTGTTGAATGAGGCTAGAGCTTTGGCTAAAAGATTTCCCACATTCACTACATTCATAAGGTCTTTCTCCAGTGTGAACTCTCTGGTGCTGAATGAGGCTAGCACTTTGGCTAAAGAACTTTCCACATTCACTACACCCATAAGGCCTTTCTCCAGTATGAACTCTCCGGTGTTGAATGAGACCAGAGCGTTGTCTAAAAGATTTACCACATTCACTACACTCATAAGGTCTTGTGCCTGTATGAATTCTCCGGTGTTGAATGAGGTCAGATTTGCGGGTAAAGGATTTTCCACATTCATTGCATTCATAAGGCCTTTCTCCAGTGTGAACTCTTTGGTGCTGAATGAGAATAAATTTGCGGCTAAAGGATTTCTCACATTCACTGCACTCATAAGGCCTATCACCAGTGTGAACACTGCGATGTCGGATGAGGTTAGAGAACTGTCTAAAGGATTTCCCACATTCATTACACTCATAAGGTCTTTCTCCACTGTGAATTCTCTGGTGTTGAATGAGTTCGGACTTGCAGCTAAAGGCTTTCCCACAATCACTGCACTGATAAGGCATTTCTCCAGTGTGAACCCTCCTGTGCCGAATGAGATTGAAGATCTGTCTAAAGGATTTCCCACATTCACAGCATTGATAAGGCCTTTCTCCAGTGTGAACTCTCTGGTGTCGAAAGAGGCTAGAGCTTTGTCTAAAGGATTTCCCACACATGCCACACTCATAAGGCCTTTCTCCCGTGTGAACTCGCTGATGTTCAATGAGGTTGGATTTGTAGCTGAAGGATTTCCTACATTCACCACATTCATAATGCATTCCTCTACTGTGATGTCTCTGATGGTGAATGAATTCGGATTTATGAATAAAGGTTTTCCCACATTCACTGCATTCATTAGGCCTTTCTCCATTGTGAATTCTCTTATGCACAATAAATTGGCATGTTTTGTTGAAAGATTTTCCACATTCACTACACACATATGTCCTTTGACCAGTGTGAACTTGCTGATGCTGAACAAGTGTGCTCTTGGAGGTGAAGGCTTTCTCACATTTGCTACACTCATAAAGCCCTTCTTCAGAGCAGACACTCTGATGTTGAAAAAGTGTATGTTTGTGGCTTGAAGCTTTTTTGCATTCATCCCACTTGTAAAAGCTTTTTTTACTGAAGAATGTCTGTACACACTTGCTGCTGCTACTGGATGACTCTGCAACATTGGGAGTGTTCTGGTGCTGAAGAAGGTCCATGGTGACTGGAAAGTCCTGCCCACATATGAAAGGATTCATTGGCATACAGAATCTGCAGCTAGTCACAAATGTAGTAGCCCAATCCACATCCCTTTTCCAAGGATCTTCTCCACCGTAATGCTTTTGGTGCTGGTGAAGGTTTGCATTGAAACAGAAGTCTCTCATACTTGTGCCACTCAAGTATAATTTCTGCACAGGATATGTGGTTTGGTGCTCAACCTGGTGCAAAATGTCTTTCAAGACTGGAACACACATCTCAATCTCACTGAGGTAAGTTTTCTGGGTGGGTGTACCCACTTTAGAAGTCCTGACCTGTGACATTCCATCAGAAGTTATCATCTCATTTTCTGTCTCATGGTAGTAACCTAAAATCAGAGAATTGCTGATGAAATGCATGTTGACTTTAGTGGGAGGGGAAAGATCTATCATAAAAAGGTGTGAGACCCAAATAATGGGAATGTTCATGGGATTGTTCTGAGAACAAGGGAACTGGGGGCAGACTGAAGCATAGATTGTTTTGAAGTTCAAGCATTTGAAGATTACAGAATAAGGGGGGCCTCATTAGACAAAGGACAGGGTATAGTGCATGAGAAGCAGGGTCTCCAACTCACTCTCTGCCAAAAGCCTTCAGCAGGACCAACAGAAGATTGCTGTTGTCCAGTACCAGGAAAATCCAATCAGAATTAGTGATCAAAAACTATTTGAGGATGTGTGCATATGGCACAAGACAGTGAATCAACACTGAAGAACATCGTAGTGTGACCAGTGGAGAGGAACAAGTGACACAGAGGCTAGAAGGGTGAAGGCGGCCAGGAACTGGAAATGACAGGTAAAATAACAATTCAGCAAAGTATTAAGTTTAGGGAAGTAGAAATAGAAATGAGATATGGCCAGTGATACTTGTACTAAAATGCTGTTGGACATATTGCAGGTTCCTAGTTGAAACTAGTAAGTTGAACACACCCATGATGTCATGCCCTTCCCCAGCTGCCTGCTGCTCACCAAGGAAAGGTCTCAGAGACTCCTTTGCCATGTCCACCCTGTACAGCAACCAGGGCTCTCCCTACATCCCCTCAATGTGCAACCATATGGGACACGAAGAAAAGAAAATATTTCAAAAAAACGCTTGAAGGAGAGCCTTGTAAAAACAGTCCATGATTCATAAAAGTAGTGATCATGACAATGCTTGCAATTCCTGGCATAGGCAGCCATAAGAAAATGGCAGCTAGAGGAAAGGGATAGAAACTGGGGCACAAGGTACCATGGATCTGTACCCAGTAACCATGATAGGGAGAAGGCAAGAAAGATGAGAGCCATTAGACTGACAGCAAAACTCTTGAGACAGAGATAACTCTGGGGTAAAAAAGAAAACAGACACCACTCAGGATACTGGGGGATATGCCAGGGCCTTACCCAGGGATGTTATAAGTGCAAAGTTGTCCAGCATCACATCACCGTACAGGAGCCTCTGAGTCTCATCAAGGAGCACCCACTCTTCCTGGGAGAAATAAATGGCCACGTCCTCAAAGGTCACACCCTGTCATATTGGGAATAGTTCAAATCACGATCAATATCTCCTTATTAGATCCTAAGTTAATCATTCCCTTGTTCCCCACATTCATGCCTTGGTCACTCTGTTCCCTATCTCAGAGGAGATACCGAGTCCTGGTGCCACTGATGCCTTCTTTCTCCCACAGTTCCAGTGATACTAAGTTCTTTCATGGCAACAAAAGGCAGGTGAACAGACAATACCTAAGCTCTGGGCCTGGCGTGTAGGCTACACCGCCTCTTGTCAATGTGGTGGGTGACACAAACAGTGTTAGGGAGAGAAGTGGCCATACAGAAAGTGTGGATAATAAGGAGACTTGTCAGGCAACACTCGACGTACCCAAGATTGTCCCTCAAAAACACAAGTAACATGGGCTCATCCTTTACCCTTATGATTCTGGTTCACCCACAAGGCCAGCACTTCACACTCCCCCATTTCAAGGCCAGCACTCCACACTCCCCCTTTTCAAGCACATCACTCTTTGAACAACACCTCTCTCAGGAAACTGCATTCTTTTTTTTTGAGTTGGAGTCTCACTCTGTCGCCCAGACTGGAGTGCAGTGGCCGCTCCCGGCCACCGCAGCCTTGACCTGCTGAGCTCTGGCGATCCTTCCGCCTCAGCCTTCCGAGTAGCCGGAATTACAGGCGCACGCTACCACGCCTGGCTAATTTTTGGATTTATTGTAGAGATGAGGTCTCGTCTGCCCAGGCGGGTCTCGAACCCGCGGGCTCAGGCAATCCACTCACCTCAGCCTCCCAAAGGCACGGGATTACAGGCTGAGCCACTGAGCCCAGCTGAAGCTGCATTCTTATAGCTACAACCTTACAGGTCACACAGCTCTGCTGTGATGGGGACAGTTTATTCCATGATCAGCATCTCTCCTAGGAACTCAAGTTGATGCCCCCACCATGCATTCATATCCTACTCACCCTCCTCCCCATCGCCCTATTTCAGAGAATATAACAGGTCCTAGCGTCACTAATGCCCTGTCTCTCCTCATGGTCCCATTGGTCATTGTGTCCTCCTTCAGCAATAACAGACAGGTGGGCAAATATCTAGGCTCTGAATCTGAACCTAGCATACAAGGAATCAACCTTTTGTCAGGCAATTCCCCCAGAATCCTCCAGATAGTGGCTCCTAGACACAACTAACAATCTGAGTTCACACTTCACCTTTATGTCTTCAATGCCAGGGCCCTAGGGCCATCAGTTTACATTATCTCCACGTGTATATCACTCTTTCCACCACACCCCTCTCACACAACTGTATTCCCACAGTCACAGCTCCCTCACTGACCCAGATATTGACCATCTCCTTGGTTTCCCTATTGGTTACTCATCATATGGGGACTGACAGTAGTTGGCAAATTCAAATAGGATTTAGTACTATGCCAGACCTCTAAATGTCCCTACTTCCTGAGCCAGGCTTGAGTCGTACCATGAAGGCCCCTACTCGACTCTGTTCCTTGCTTCAACCTCACTCACCAGGAACTACTTGCAGATCTCAGGTATCCATGCCCTCCTCCACTTCTGGGCTGCACCTGATGTCTTCTCACCAGTCACAGCCTTCTTTTCCCTAATTCTCATTCAAGGTTCAACCCCAGTGGTTGTCTACCACAGGTCCATCCACAGGTGGCCATTTATGCCCCTAAACTAACTTGACAGCTTGAATGAAACACTCCAGGTCGCACCAAAAATTAAAATAAAATCTGGTGAGTCTGTAGAGAGGAGGATAACAATCAACCCTAGCATCATCTTGTCGGAATTACTCCTGGGCCTCCACATCCAACTCATTTCTATTCATCCCCGAGAAGCCCTGGCCACATGCCAGACCATACTACTCTCTCTGACCTTCCCCATGAATGCCTCTCTCCATGACCCGTGTTGTCATATTCTTCCTACAACCAGGAGCCCATGCAGGAGATCAGATTGGTCCTTGGCCCTCATTCCCTTCCTGGGCAACTGTTATCATCATGACCAGGCTTCCCTTTTACCAAATGTGACCCATAGTCTTACCATGGTCCACACACTGTCCAGTATCTTTTCAATAAATTTCCATTCTGAACCTCTCCTCACAATTCTAGATTTGTGGCTCCAGCTGCCCATGAACTGTTCTCTGAAAGTTCTCATAGTCTTTTTTTTTTTTTTGAGTTGGAGTCTCACTCTGTCGCCCAGACTGGAGTGCAGTGGCTGCTCCCGGCCACTACAGCCTCGACCCGCTGGTCTCCGGCAATCCTTCCGCCTCAGCCTTCCAAGTACCTGGAACTATAAGCACGCGTCACCACGCCTGGCTCATTTTTTGATTTATTGTAGAGATGAGGTCTCGCCAAGTTGCCCTGGCGGGTTTCGAACCCGCGGGCTCAGGCAATCCACTCACCTTAGCCTCCCAAAGCACGGGATTACAGGCTGAGCCACCGAGCCCGGCTAGTTCTCATAGTCTTAATGGGTCAAAAATAAAACTCATATCCCCAATGAAACTCCTACCATGGGCCTCCTCATCTCTGTTGACGGAGCTTACATCCTTCTAGCCACCAAAACCAAACCTTCAAGTAATTCCTGACTCTAATCTCTTTCTCATCCTCAAAATTAGAAAACTCAGGCAGTCCTACTTAAAATATAGATCCAGAATCCAACCACTTTTCCCACCTCTACAGCTACTACATTGGCTCAGCTACTATCATATTCACCTGAACTATCCCAGTATCCTCCTCTCTGGTCTTCCCCCTCATCTTTCAGTCTGTTTCCCACAATGCATCCACAAGAAACCTGAAGAGACCTGGGTCACATCACCTTCCTCTACTCCAAGCCTCCCACTGTTACTATCACGCAAAGAATAGCCACTCAACTTCTCAGAGCCAGCTCAGGTATGACTTCTACCCTACCACTCCCTGTTCTTATGAGAAAAAAAGGAGACTTGCAGCTCAGCCTCTTTTCCAAGACTTTGCATTCACTGGTAGCTATGCCTGGGACAACCTTCTACATCTCATTTTCATTGGTTGCCGACAGCTTGATATAAACTCAGCCTGGACTTAGGATTTTGGGTTTTGTTCAAGATACCAAGGCCCAAGACTAGAAGAGTGGCAGGACAATAGTCCCAGGACACAACTAACCCAGAAACCAAATGGGTGGGGTGAGGACTAGTGACACACTCCTCTCACTTTAGGCTCCCTAAATGATTCTAGAGTCATGGGAATCTGTAGAAAGAGAAAGGCCACGAGAGTCAGGCAAACACAGTCAGGTTCCACAGGCTCAGGTCGCCCAATGATCTTGCCCACTTCTGGAGTCAAGCAGCCCAGGACAGCTGAATTATCTGTGCTCCAGTCCTCTTGGCTCAGTTGTGTGAACTTGGCTAAGAGCTCAACCTTCCGGTATCTACCCATTACCATTTCTCTTCCAGCCTGTTCTTCCTATGAGAAACTCACCAAGCTGTTAAAACTTTCCCTCGAGTGGACTGCCTGAGCCTGCGGGTTCGAGACCAGTCTGGGCAACTTGACGAGACCTCGTCTCTACAATAAATAAAACTTAGCCGGGTGTGGTAGTGCGCCTGTAGTTCCGGCTACTTGGAAGGACGAGGCGGAAGGATAGCCGGAGCCCAGCAAGTTGATGCTGGGTGGCAGGTTGATGCTGGGTGGCAGTTGAGTTGACTCCAACTCAAAAAAACAAAACAAAAAACTTTCTCTCAGACCGTGTGCTTCTCTGATTACAAATCTCCAAGGCTCCCAATGTCCCCCCGCAACAAAAAAAAATTCCCCTGGTGCAACTCTGCCTCACTCTCTTGTTCCGACAGACACAAGTTCCTAAATCCTCCCGGCTCAGTAGCACCTCCAAGCCTCTGCACGTGCCGGTCCCCCCGCCTGTCACACTCTCCCACTCCCTACCTCACTTAACGTCACCAATAAGGACCCTGCCCACGAGTTTCTCCCTGTCCCAGACACAGGGGCCGGGGCTTCATAACATGGGTAGGCGCTCCTCATGAGCTGCCTGACGACTCGGGTCCGGGTAAGGGCGGGGGAGACCCTGAGGCACTACTGACCTGAGCCGGGCCCCTCAGCGCGGCCGCCGCCATCGGACTGCTGACGGAGCGGGGCGGGGCGCGCGGACGACCGAAGCGAGAAGCTGGGCACGGTGGCCCCTACACGGCCTGGCGCGGACCCCCGGGATCGCGTCACCGACCTTCAGGCTCGCCTCTCGCACCCACCCTGTCAGGTCACTCAGGTCTCCACCCGGCGTTCCGGAGCCCCCAGCGAGGTGCACAAGCAAGAAGGAAGCCAAAATGACCGCCACGGGGAGGACGCCAGAAGTCCCGCCCCATCGCAAAACGTATGCACGGCAACGACTCTGTTCCGGGTTTTCATTGGCCTAACGCTGCCGTCGTTTACCGCGTTGCACTCTGGGTAGTGTGGTTTCCAAAACTCCGCAAGCATAGTAGAAGTGCGTCCTGGTCTTGACCTCTGCAAACACAGGCCCTTTGCCATAAATGTCGCCTGGGACTCATTATAGAAATGCAGATAATGACCGGACGCGGTGGCTTAAGACTGTCATCCCAGCACTTTGGGAGGCCGAGGCGAGAGGATTGCCCGAGCCCAGTGGTTTGAGACCAGCCTGGGCAACTTGGCGAGCCCTTGTCTCTACAATAAATTAAAAAATTAGCCGGATGTGGTGGCGCGCGTCCGTAGTTCCAACTACTCGGGAGGCTGAGGCAGAAGGATCGCCTGAGTCCAACAGGTCGAGGCTGTGGTGCCCGGGAGCAGCCACTGCACTCCAGCCTGGGCGACAGAGTGAGACTCCGACTCAAAAAAAA